GGTGAATGAACAGTTGCTACACAGAACGCAAGAAATTTAGGGTACCCTGTAGTTCTTTCCTCAGTAAAATTACAGGTGCGGGTACCCATACAAGTACTTGTTCAGTAAACATTCTGGTATGGGTACCAAAGTAAGTACCTACATCAGTATAATTACTAGAATTTTTCTAAGTACCTATATCGGGTACCCTGCTGAGACTTTCTCAGTACATGGGTACCCTGAACTCAGTACTTTCCCTAGGGATGTAGAAAATTTATACCAAAACAGAATACTTGGAGGAACAAACATATCAGGGACAAAGATCAAGTAACAAGAGGACACTTTTAACTACAAAAACAGTCGTCTCTCAACTTCGCACACTGCTTCTATCAAATTCTGCGAAATAATCAAAATGAGTGAAACGACGTATGCACTCAACTTTTGACGAACCGTTATCCGATCTTCATAATTCACATTACTCAGAAATATATTTAAAAGTATATTAAGAATGTGTACATATGTCGAGCCTAGTCTACAAAATTGATCGGTCATACAATAAAGCAACAGTTTGATAAGTTGTAGATCAGTTTCTTTCAGAACGTCTCTTAACATTCTTTTATTGCATCCAATACTGAAGAAGAACAAACATGTATTTCGTACATTGGTCTCTTTTTTTTCAATTGAGAGTCAAGATGAAAATGAGACCACGAGCAGCTCTATCTGTTATGTCATCCTGTATTAAGTAACATATTTTAAATATTTCATGAGGTCATGATGAAAAAAAATCAAAAAATATCTATTATTTAATATTTTAAACGTAACTTGGTTTTATAACTTCACTCACCTTAATATTTCTGATATTATGTAACCGTAAAACGACAAGTTATTCATTCATTTGTATTTGACATGAAAATAATATTAAATATATGATGATAGCAAACAACACGTTGAATATGACAGGCTTATTACGCCGCAAAGCGAAAGACGATTTTTAGTTGTCACCTTTCTATTTCCTAACTATCTCATATCTATAGTTCAATAAATCTTGTCTAGTCGGAAGTTTCTTTTCATCTAAAAGGCTTTTGGCTTTAATTATTAGCCAAAACGCGTAAACATATCACTGACAAAAAATGAAAGTTCATTTGGAGTTAAAGAAAAGTGATTTTTCATATTCAGCACACTTGATAATCTGGAAAATTTTCTATTTTTAGCGAGGGGTACCGGCCAAAAAGTTAAGAAAAATTTTTAAAATTGTATGATTTTATCATGGGGATTTTTCTGCATCAATTTGTTTGAAAATTTTTCTTAACTTTTTGGCGGTACCCCTCGCTAAAAATAGAAAATTTTCCAGGTTATCAAGTGTGCTGAATACGAAAAGGCACTTTTCTTTAACTCTAAACAAACTTTAATTTTTTTTTTATCGGTGATATGAATATACATGAATATATAAATTCATATTATCGTATGATATGTAGACCATATTTTTTTTTTTGATATTTCTGGTACGTTTCACTTTTAGATGATGTAACATTACAATAACAGTGACCTAGAACAGTAATGAAATATTAATTTTCTTTTTATTTTGTTCGTCTTTCATTACAAGTTCAGTAGTGGAATATAAACGCTTCTAGGCTTGAAAAAAACTTTATGAAAAGAATGAGGACACATGTACCTTAATAATTGTTCAAAAAATCACCACTCTTTCTATGTAATAGTATGTTCAATGTTATTAATACAAAGTTGCAAGGTTAATTTTGTACATGTTCAAAAAAGAAAAAATCTGTTCATTTGCTTCAATTAATTGGAAAGAGAAGGGTATTATATACACACGCAGATATCTAGGTCAATTTCATACGATTGTAAACGACGATGTACCACCAAATACGGTCGTTTACAACCTCATTACGATCCATAAACTGATCATAAGTACACGTATACGACAGTCAATTTCATTGTCATCGGTAGACTTCAGCTTTGAGTGTGAAATATCTTCAAAATACAACTTGCAAATAGATACGACATTCTGATAATATCAGTTATGAATAATAGAGGATAGAAAAAAAGATGATCATCGAGTTATATAAATATTATTTTTATTGAACCTATCTTTTCTTTTCGTTTTTCTGTTTTTTTGTTTTTAATAATATTAGACTGTCACGCATGATTGACTATTGTGAGTTCAGATATGTGGGTGTATTTATGATCATTTGATTCTAATTTATTTCTTCTTTTTTTTCTCTCTTCATCTTCTCTTAATAGTTCAATGTAGATAAAATGAAATCAAGAGACATTATGACGATCTGATTCAAGATATTATTGCGCAACTATCATGACCTGTGTAAGTGTAATCAATCTTCAAAATATAATACCTATTTGTATGGAAAATATTACAACCGAATTTGTTCTTTGTTTAATTTTAGAAAATTCTGTTATTATTATATTGTCTTCTATATCTCAATGTCAGACTCTGTTTCAGCAATAAACTTGTTGATTTGATAAATTCCATAAGAAACTCACCGTACAATAGTGAGGAAGGTGATGGTAATGGTAAGTTTACTTAATTAAATTGTCCAAGATTAAAGATAGTTAGTTCAAGCGAACTGTTTTTAAAGACCCTCTTATTTAGAGGATTGATATATCGATAGTGTAAAGTAAAGTATCATAATTTATGTTGAGATTTATAATAAGATTTCTATCATTTCCGTGTTAGAGGAGAAAAAATAACTGTCTAAACTGTCTTTATCATAATGAAAATGTTTATTTCACTCGTAGCAGGCGAATTTCGAGATATTGTACAAAACATCCAAGAACAATTACACAATTTTAGTTTACCAAGTAAGTAATCAGAGAACTCTTATAACTCAGTTCTCTTAAACTAAGAGAACTCTTATAACTTCTTTATTAAAAATTGCTTAGAGTTATAGAATGTCCCGATTTGTACAGAAATGTTCAGACTATACTTTTCCTAGACATAAAAAAAGAATTCAAACTCAATTTTGACAAAAATATAAACACTATGACATACAATAACTGTAGGTGTCATTTGGTACATCAACTCTTAACTATTCGTATTTGTTTACTAAATCATTTAAATGTGTCTCATTTTTACATTTTTCAACTTTTACAGCAAAACAGTTTTGTAGAGCAAACAATAATGTTTTCAATAAGATGCTTTCCAACTCTATAGACTGTATTTGAAAAAAGTTGATGATTATTTTTTCCTAAGGATCCAAAAAGGATGAAAAAACTGTTGCATAACTCTTGGATATCTAATTCGATGCGTACAACAAACTTAATTTAATCATGTTATTTTTTTTGCAGAATGTTTACCAGGTTTCCGTTCTTATGCTGGTTCGTGTTACTTTTTATCTCCATTCAAAACAAGTTGGTTATTAGCATCAAAAACATGCAATTTGAAGCGTAACTCATCATTGATCTCACTCGAAAATATGGATGAATTAGAATATGTAATGAAATTAATGCAAACAAATATTCGAGATGTTAAAAGTGCATTCATTGGATTAATAGCAAATGAAACAGGTATTTTATCGTTTAATATAAGTATTGTAAATATGTTTTACTTTTCTTTGATTGCAGCTAAATGGGAATGGTTAGATGGTCGTACGTTTTGGGACAGTGCATTTGCTCCATTGTATTATCCATATCGACCTGAAACAAGTCGTTGTGGTATTATACATTTGATAAACGGCACGAAGCCAGCATTCGAAGGACGAGATTGTAAAGATGATGAAGCCTATTTTATTTGTAAATATGGTAAGAAAATAACATAAATTATCTAAGTATATAAAATATGAGACTTTTAATAGAAATTTTTCACTAATTTTAGTACAAGATCATTGCTTTTCAAAAAATGTTTGTGGACGTGGTGGAGAATGTATGAATTTTGGATTAACATTTTCCTGTCGGTGTAATTTTCTTCATATAGGGCGAAAATGTGAGAAATGTAAGAACATATATCAACAAGTTTGTGTAACTGTTTTCATTTCTATTGACTTCTTATCCTGAGAGCTATTGAGATACCTGAATTCCAATATAAATCGTACATGCTACCAATAATGTTCCGTTTGAGCGATGATTTTTCTAAGGATAAAACAAAATTCGTGATGTTCTTCATAGCTATGTCCGAGATAATCCAAAGTACTCTATACACCTTTTAGTTAGTTCCAAGACGATTCAATCCATTGCAGCATTGATTATTATGGGAGTAATGAGTTTATTAGTGTGTGCCTTAAAGTTTGATGTATACAAACGATGTCATTTTCTGCGTCAAAAGTAAGACTTTCGTCTATTTGTTTTTCTGTACATTAATTGCCTATGTGATTTAATTTCAGACATCACAAAAAGGATGATATTAATAAGCATCGTAAGATTTCTTAAACTTGTTGACAGCTTGATAGACTGTAACATATTTCTTTTTGTATAGCTCAATGCAAAACAACAAAAAAGCACGCACTCCCGTTTATTTCAACTAATTCAGATTATAATCATGACAAATCAAAAAGAAGACTGTTAAATACTTGACTATGATTAATGCAATAAATTTCATTGTATATTCATTTGCTGAAAGAATAACGAACTGCCAGAAGTGGCTGTCGTCGAAATTTGAAAAAAAAATCATATTTGTCAGAAAATTGCACTTCGATTGACTAAAAGGAATAGCCTGTTAACCTAAAGGTGGAGATGGCATCTCACTATAAGTCAAATGTTTTTTCCAGTATTGTCACACTTTATTTCAGTTAAAAGAGCGTCAAAAACTAAACAAATTGACGTATTTTTAATTTTTGGCAAATTTTTGAGAACAGAAAATTCTATTTCAAAACGCAGTTTCATGAAATTTCAGATTCTTAAAGAAAAACCGGTAGAACAATACCCAAATTAACGGCAGATAGGCCAGAATATACAGTTTCTCATACTGGATTCAATGAAACCAAAATTGCAGTAAGTCTATTCGTTAAGCTAAATCGAATTGTAAAAACATCTCACAAAGCGGACCAAAATAATCTGATACCACCATTTTGTAGAGCTCAATGAGTACTATAAATGGGAGTAAAACGAAAAAACTCGATTAAAGACTTTTTGACGTAGAGGTACCGAAAATTGTCTATTTCTAAAATGGGGCCTTTAAAGATGAACGCCATGCTCAAAGAGAAAGATATGTATTGAGTTTATTCTTTTCCCATTAGATTACGCAGCTCTTCAGCTTCATTTTCATCTATAATAAAAGAACGTTTCGTTTTGTTTTGCGCTCAGAAGAGATAAAATACTCAATGTTGTTTTCTCATTGTCAGCCATTTTGTAATAGGGGGAGGACTAGAGGCTTTTATGCAATTTTCTATATCCTGCACGAAAAGAGTATCAACATTTTTGCGGCGACTATATCATGTGATGATGGGTGAACATGAGTCGAAACGCCTCATTACATATTATATTCTAATTCTAATTCATCCATATTTTCGAGTGAGATCTGTGCCTACAGTCAAGCTTACATACAATCAAGATGAGTCGTTCGCTTAGATGTGAAAGACGTTGATAGTAATTTTTCATTCTTTTTGCAGTGGCAACTTGGCAAAAAAATGACATATTCACCTTTACCGTCAGCGACAACGGAAGGACGGAAATGCATAGGTAATTCATTGACACTGTCGGTCTTGAGATGTTATTCTAAATTTTATACTAAAATATATTTATACTTTTTTATTTTTATTTATCAATTCATTTGTTTTTTTGCATGTGATTCAGAACGGAGATGTCGGCACATGTTGTCTTTGTGTGTTTACGTCGTTCTCCTCAGATTCTTATGTAAATAAGTATAGTATTCATATAGTGCAATGTACGCATACGTGTGTCTCTGAATTCAGAACTGTTTGGTTAATGTGACCTATAGCGGGATATTTACATGTAAAAGACCTCGAATATGGTAAGCGGATAGAATTTTTGCATTAATAATTTCCTCCTCATAAAATTCAAGTTAATATTTATTTATTCTTCAAGTATACTACTTATTCAACAACTATATGGCTGTCGTGGCATGCAACTTGTCTGAGTGTGGAAAGATATACTACCTACAAGAGTGTGCTTTGTCAAAGCAATTATTATTCCAGATGAAAACTATATAACGTCCTTCACAGTGCTTATAACGATTGATTTCCCTGATATATGGTAAGTTTTAACGTTCATTGTTTGCCAACAATCATGTGAAAAGGTCGATTTCAGACAAAAAAGAGGCAGAAGCTCCGATAAGATATTTCTCTACGGTTTTTAAAAAGAGAATTTAATCAGACTCTTTGTTCTCTTGTTTAGATGTATGCAAAATGAAAGTGGTACTTATTTGCGGTGAATTACGTTTAATTTAACATCTAAAGAAAATAAGAATAATATAAATTTGTTGCGATATTTGAAGTTTAACAAATTGTGACATAGAATAATACGGGTAAGTGGATACTAGAGGTTCAAGATCGACCTTAAAAGCGTTTAAGCTATCCGTTCTTTATTTATCAAGAGGCAGAACATGATGTTGTGGGGAAAGTATAGACGACGGATTTCCACACAAGCCCGGGAAGTACAGACTAGGTATCTTAAACATTTCTATTAAATGTCTGAAATGTTCAACTACTGTTTTTTAGAATAAAAAGAAATTCGTTGTGCTATGGTTAGTTTTCACTCTTTTAATTAAGTTTTTAATTCGTTGTTTTGTTGAACACATGGGTCAACCATCGAGTATGTCCAGGTGAGACGATGTGGAAAACAAAGTTTTTGCGATCTGGCTAGATGAACAAGATTTATATAAATTTTAAGCTATTTTTCAAATGAAGAGGTAAATTGGACCGACTTTTTCTCCGATTTTTGCAAGTAGACCTGAAAATTGAAGTTCACTTATCTATAGAGATATGCATCTGGATCCAGTGATTGCGTTTAATAAAAAAACATGCAATACTGCCAAGCGTGCATAATACTACTAACTTTAATATGAGATTGCATCTCGCATTCACTCTCACTTTGCTGCCCCCTGTCACGTCCTGATAAGTCTTTCCATTGTAGAAATTCTACAGGCGTTAGTTCAAAAACGCAACACTTCTCAACTTTTTCATTATTCTTTCTGTACTTAAAAAAAAGCTAAAAATTTATATAAAACTTGTGGACATACTCGATGGTCGATCCATGTGTTCAACAAAACAACAAAGCAAAAAATTTAATTAAAAGAGCGAAAACTAACCATAGCTTAAGGAATTTCTTTTTATTCTAAAAAAACAACAGTAAAACTGTTGTTTATGAACATTTCAGTCATAAAACTAAGAGCAATAACAACTACTAGATATGTCATTTGTAATTGAATAAAATATATATTTAATTAAAATGAGTATAAAAATAGTTTATACATAAAATTCGACGTTTCGAAAATGATGAAACAAAAGTGATAATGAAATTTGATAAGTGAAATTGATTCGAAAATAATAATGAAATTTTAAATTTCGAAATTTGGAATTTTATATATGTAAACTCATTTTAATTAAATATATATTTTATTCAATTACAAGTGGCATAGTTGTTGTTGCTCTTAGTTTCTGACTGAAATTATTGCCCTTACGAAAACAAAACATTTCAGACATTTAATAGAAATGTTTGAGGAATCTATTTTGTACTTGTCAAACTTTGTGTAAATCTGTATCTCCACAACATGTACGCTCGTTCGATATAAGACTCGAATCATTCTTTATCGTTTTAGACTTGTTATTTCTTTTGGTGGTCTTTAGTAACTATTCAAACACTACTGTTTATCCTAATCAGTGAAATAAAAAATTCAAAATTATACTCAAACAATGATTTAGGTAGTTGTAGTTTCCTAACTAATTATTAATGATAAAGTTTTTGATAATTTTTCTTCACTATCGTTTTAAAAACATTCATTCTGTCGGGGATAGATCATAAAGGTTTATTTATTCATAGCCGATGTTCGCTCAAAAGTAGTTTGACGGCTGTGTAAAAGAAAAAATTAGCGATAGTTAAGCATGATAAGCATTAATTTGTGAATGTTAGTATAGAAATATTATCTTGTCTGAGCAGCGGATAATCAAATCTACTATTCATCTAAGATTTAGCATGGATTTATTGGAAGAATACTTTGTTTCCTTCTCCAATCATTTGCTACAAAACACAGTAAAAGGATGTATACTTAATGAAGAATAAGAAGACGGAGATATACCTCGCTTTGCGATTACTGGGACTCGTATCAGACGTTGACATAGTCAATATGAGTAGTCCAACATCTTCTCAGTAGCAACTGATAATTTTCAAAGATAATCATACATCTTTGTACTTATCATTAACCACAACTCTGGACAGAAGATTAGCCTAATATAGTCTTCTTGAGCTCACCAAACACACTTACGAACCATACAAACCACGTTCTTACAGCTTTCTGGCAAGTCAGAAAAACTATTTTACGTCAGAACTTGAAATATGCTGTCGGATAGATAATCCGGTTATTATTACATATCTGAGATTATCATGGGACTTAGCCGCGTAATGATGCAAACATAGCGCTTTTTATAGTACGAATCAAATGACACAACTACTAAGTCACATTCTATACTTAATTAAGTTTTAGACCATTTCTTTGAAGTACTAAACTGCATTTTTTCGTTTTGAATTTTAGCGGAAAGCAATTTATTATCAATACAACGTAATCATTAGTCTGTGTCAAAAATTATGCATAACCAACAGCTTTATTTTGTTGACTCGTTAGAAGAATCGTATTGATTATATTATTATAACATGTGCACATGAAGTCATTAAAGAAGTGGGTGTTGTTTACTTTCAGAATCTTTTGTTTATATTATAAGGTTTCGCAAATTCAAGATCCAAGCGCTTTTTCTTTTTTCGATTTTATTACAAGAATAGATGCGCCGCGACGTGCTAATTCTAACCATGTATAATTTGTTTGGAAAAAGTTCTTTTCTTCAGGTCAAAACAGGCAAAAAACAGAAGAAAAACGGTTCAAAAACGAGACCTTTTGGAAGAAAAGAGCCTACTTTTTTTAACTAAAGGAGATGGAGCTCTAGAAAAAATATTTTCAAAATCTTCATCGAAAATGGATTAAGAAAACGTTTGAGGATTTTTGGACAAATTTGGTTTTTTCCGGAAACATCTCGGTCGAAAGTTCGAAAAAAACCACATTTGTCCAAAAACCCTGAAACACACATTAATCAATTCAGTTTTTGATGCTGATTCCAAATATGACTTTGGTTTTGCAGGAAACTGGAAATTTGACGATAAAAACTGCAAAATACTAGTGAATTTCCTTGGTTTTTGCTACCTGTTTCAAAAAAATTAATTTTCTCAACAATGGAACAATATTTTCCAAAACCGATACATAACTTTTTGGAGGAGCATAAGACGGAGCTAACGCTGAAAAAATAAAGGCTCTATCTCGTTTTGTTCATGAGTTAACGATTTTTAAACGAAAACGAGAGGTTTTTCCCTCGTTCGAAAGGCCATCGATTTTCACCTACTCAAAATCAAGTTATAACGTTGGAAAAAACATTTTCTAAATCCATTTTCGATGAAGATTTTGAAAATATTTTTTCTGACACTCCATCTTCTTTCGTTAAAAAGCTGCAGGCTCTTTTCTCCCGAAAGCTCTCTTTTTTGAACATTCATTTTTTTCAGTTTTTCGCCTGTTTTTTGACCTGAAAAACGAACTTTTTCCAAACAATCAGTTAGAATCAGCACGTCGCGGTGCATCTATCCATGTAATAAAATCGAAAAAAGAAAAAGCGCTCGATTTTTTTAATTTCCGGAACCTTACTCATAGTAGTTTCGAAGTTATGGCAGAAACTGACCAGGCAAAGTTAAGTCATACTTTCATAAAACCATTGAACAGGTTATATAGTGTCATTCGTCTTTCTCGTCAACTATCGGATGTCATAAATGATTCCTTTGTTATTCATTAATTGTTTATTCTTTTAAAATCTAAAATTTAGGATTGATTATAACTATCGTTTGAGATGTTTGGCTTATTTATAATGAGAGCCTATCCTTTCTTAAAACGAAATGAAAATGTTCGTTAGTATGATAGAACGTTTCTTTCCCTCTTACATATATTTAATATTAAACCACATCTCTGTCCAAGATGACCGACTAAGACAAACGAATATCAGATTCTTGAGCAGCATCAAAAATGATTCTAGAAAAACTGGTTTTAATCAGAAAAGTTTCAATTACCTAAGAAGATTCCCGCGTAAGTTCTTGATTAAGCAAGAGTCAACGTTTATCAGGATAGATTGTTAAGCAGAGAAAATAATGTCTCTCGAGGCACTCACCAATTTTTATGAATAATTTCTGTGCATAATCGTGATCCAAAGACACAATACGTCAACAACGATTCTATTCTTATTTACTTCTACTCTACAATAGAATTTTCTTTCTATCTATTTTAGTTTGTCTGATCAAATTATGTTAAGCTGTTTCAATTCACGTTTGAAGAAGATATTAGTCTATTATTATTATAATACATGTTATCTATAAATGGCAAATTACAAATGTGAACTGTTTTCTTTTTTGATGTAATTGTTTTGTTTTTATCTATGTCAATTTTCTACAATATGATATTATGAGGTTGATTTTTGCTTAATATGATAAATGAGAGCTAAGAGACATGGAGTTAGAAAATGTTTGACGATTTCTGCACTTAAAAAAACATTTTTCTAATGAGTTGTTGGTTTGAGAATGAATGATGTATCAGATAAGTACATCTCTTACCCACGTTGTTGATTTTATTGTTTTTTGTATTTCACACAAATTTAAATTAAATAATCTTTATATTGAATCTAGATAAAACGGAATTTTTACTTTGGAATTTCTTCATAGAATATACTTTCAGCAAAAATCGAAAAAAAAGTGTTTTCGGTATGAGATTTCGTTCAAAATAAAAATATGCAGAAGACTTTTTGTTAATGACTGGAAAGCAGTAGTAGCTGTATATTTTTCGTTTAGCTATTGGTATCAATTAGTTTGAAATAGCTAAGATATTTACCGTTTAGTTTAGAAATAGTGCATTCTGTATATCTTTTTCTTTATGTTGAATAAGATGCGATATATTTTCAGGACTAACATTCTTTACGTAGCACTACTCTTTTTTATACTAATAAATCGAGTGATTATCCTAATATGAATGAAAAAATTGCTTGTGAACTGTTTTGAAGGAAAAATATCTGTAATCTTCGAACTTTCGAAATAAAGTATGAGAAAAAATTAAGATTGATAAAGAAATTTATTTTGTTAGACGTTAGACGTACTTAATTGGAACTATGCAGTTCACCTTACTGTGATTATCCGTAACGTGTTTTTTCACTACGGATCGAATACACCATCTGATCTCCGATGTGTTTGTTCTCTTTTTCACAAAATATTTGTCACTGTTTAAAAAAATGACGACTAGTACATCAATAACTGAACAAAAAATGTTCTATCATCGAATTACTATCTTTATTCCAATTATCTACGATTAACTTGTGATGGAGTCAAATTTGTTTGATTTTCGTTCATATAAGGTAGAGGATCATTATAGTCTCTTTAAACTTTCCTGTAAAAAAATCTTTTTTTCTTATATAGATGCATATTGCATCTAATATAATTCTTGGTAAATTATCATTCGCTTATCGAGAGATACTAATGACAATAAAGATAGTAGTCGCTGTTTTTAACAAGGAAAATATAGTGACAGAAGAGGGAGAAAGAAAGAAATTGAAAAGGATAACAATCACTAGATAAAATAAAAAATTACAAACAGAATTAGGAGAAATTATTAACTAATGAGGGAGATAAACGTTTAGATGAGGGATTAGAATAAAGTGTTTCATTAGAAGCATAAGTAGTACAATTATTAATTGATGATGGAGATTAGAAAGCTGTCATTGATTAGAAAAGAACTATCTCACCTAAATAAGAACATTGAGTAAAATTTTCAACATTTTATGTTGTCTCTGATTTCTCGTTTTTTTTCAGTCTGTTGAAATTGGAGACTGGTATATCATTCGTGATTGAGATTATAAAATCAGGAATAAATCAACTTTTCGACAGGGTACATGTTTTTAAATTAATATATCTCACCTATGTTTACAATAAATGAATTCATTGTGCTTTTGTGAATAATAAGATCGATCAGTTTTGATTAATAAAGTATTTATCGTATTCTAAGGATGACTGACTAGTCAGAATAACGATTTGTGTATAATGAGTTTATATTAATCGATTTAAAAAAAATTTTCTTCTCACTGTTATCAAATTCTTAAAAGACCATAGATAATGAAATACTTTATCGGTGGCAACTGAGTGAATAACATTGTTGTTTATTCTTTATTTTTATAGATACCTAATTAATATAAATAAACAAGTATGAGTTTATATTCTTCTTCTAATTCACCAAAATGGACGAATTCTTCATCGTCAAATGATTATAATAATTCACATCATCGTAATAGTGGTAATAAATATACAGCATTCAATGATCGTCCAAATATTTCAAAACGGTAACATTTTCTGAATAAACATTAAGCATTGATCTCTGTTCTCTTTTCTTTTTTTTCTTAATAAACTGAACATGTTGTGATACTAATTATTTTTTCTTCTTTTAGTATTCGTACCGACGAAACATATCCTTATCGTCGTGGTAATTTTTCATCACCACCACAACCTCTTTACCCTTCATTAGACGATGAGCCACAATCGTTAAAACCTCGTCCATCATTATCCGAAAGATTGGGTTTGAAAAATGATGATTCAGATGAAAATGAAGATGAATCAACACCATATTCTCCGTCACATACCATAACAAAAACTTCTATAGCTCTACCTATGCCACCATCAACAGCATCCTCTTCTATCCACAGTAAACAACAAGGCCCAACACATTTAACATTAGATGAAAGGATAATTCGTAATCCACAATTGTCTTTATTAGAATCGACATTATCTGCATCATCCGTTGATAGAAAATCGATAATGGATTTGTTAGGTAAGTCGATATAACAGAAAAGAGTGTAGTCATATGTGGATAACTACAAATATAATTTGTTAACTTTCTAAAACAGAAAATAACTGTTAATTTTTTGCCCATAGGCGATCATACAAGTGAAGATGAAGAAGAAGAAATAGCTGATGATGAAAATCAACCCTATAGTCCATCCCAATTAGATTCAACAACAATGGAACAAGTAAGTCATCAATTAAGAACAAAACCAATGTCATTGCAACAACCACCACAACAACACGTCTACGTTCCACCTCCTACAAAATCAACCGTTGTGCCTACTATTAGTACGAGTAATACAACCACTATCAATGGGACAATGCATCAATCAGAACTTAATAATGATATTGATTATCGAAAACCAACAACATCAAACTCATATGCACGACATCATCGTCATGGACATGTTCATCATAAACATCATCGAAATCATCATAAAAAGAACGATGAGACACATGAAAATCCAAATAAGTAAGTAGTTTGTCCGATGTTTTTAAAAGTGTTTTTAAAAGTGCAAGTGAGAATCAACTAGCTTGTGCTAAAAAAAGAAAAACGCATCAACAGGTTGTAAAATGTTATCACGCCTCAAAATTCTTAACCTAGTCGTAAGCAATCGAATGTTTATGATAGAGTTTGGTATGAGGACAGGATTTAAGAGACGGGTTTCATCATTTTACTAAATCGTCTAGATTGTTTTGAAATAATCAGCTGTATTGTTGTCAATTATAGTCAAAATCAGTCATTATCTACTTCGTCAACTGATCTAATTCCATCTTCACAACATCATCATCAAAAACAACAACAGCAACAAAATCAACAGCAACTGTCGAAGAAAACTTCATCAACTGTTCAGCAACAAATTCCGTTAACATTTCATGGTTTATCCATGCTATCATCAACATCCGATGAACCTCGTTCAATTCCCATTCATGGTGAAGCGCCCGTTGTTGATCCTCGTATAAAAATCTATTCAAATCGTTTAAAATCAAAAGTTCGTCAATTATGTTTAGAACGTTTAGAACAATCAAAATCGACTATTGAGAAAGTTCAATTAAATAATGAATTAGATACATTAGTGGAATGTCATGGAAAACGTTTATATTGGTATAGAGTTATTTGTTTTCTACAAAATATTCAAACACAACCAAAAACTTCTTCGTCTTATATCAAAGAACTAAATAAATTGTTAATATTAACACCGACATTATCAAAATTATTAAAAGTCAAACAACGTTATCCGAAAAAAATACCCATTGATGAAATATCATCTGTTGTTGATCCTCGAATTGGAAATCAATTTTATTTAAAATCACAAAAAATTATAATGAAATCGTTACAATATACTTTAATTGATAATAATACAGAAACTTCAAATGGAGAAGATATTGAGAGTCAATCTCAAGCACAATTACAAATACATGATGGTGACAATAGCGATAATGATCCAAATGAAAATGATTTTGATCGAGAGGAAATGGATATTGAAGAAGAAGAAGATCAAAATGATGAAGAATGAGTAGAAAAAAAAATAGAAGAGTCTTTTTTTTTATATTGTGTATGTATGTGCATGTATTTGTTTGTTTCGTTGCTGCTAAATTCTTTTTTTGGTTCTTCTTTATTTCTTTTTTTTTATTTATTTTTACTACTATGTAGAGATCGGACAATAAATATTAATATATATATACATACATATAAGTATGGACAAATGAAGAAAATTTGAATAATTCAATTGTTAAATGGTTTATCATCAATAATTGTTGCGCGTGCCATAGAACGTCTGTAATCTCGAACAGCATAATGCTAAGTTGATCTATTATCCCAAATTGTCACATCACGCTCTTACTAGTAATATCGAACGGTATACTCAGGTTTATTGACCAAACTATAGAGATAATTTAATAGTATCTCATCGAGTAAAAATATCTTGTTCGATATAACACCAACAACAATGCTCAACAAACCACTTTCTTCACCAAATATTATACCAACAAAGAAAACACAACGATAAACAACGTCTAATTCTAAATCACCAGTTCAACAACAATTAACAACAGGATCAGAAATGAAGGGAGAGCAAGTGAAAACTGCTAAAAAGGAGAATACTCTGCACCGAGGACTGCTGAAATGGAATATGAATTATAACATTAAGGAAGTCAACATCGTTCTCATTCAATAATGTTGGATCAATTTTCAAAATACTCTCTCATGTGACTTCATTTAATGCGATTTCATCATATTAACGTGAATTCGATCCAAAAATATAAATTTGATTTACTGTCTACACTTAACGATGTTGATTGTTACTCGATTAATGAAACAAAATTAAGTAAAGAAATAAAATCATTCTCGTTAATGAGCTACAACATATATAGACAGGCTCGGGATCATAGAGGTAGTGGAGTTCTCATCGCTGTTCGAAACAAATATCAAACGAATCTCATTTACAGTGGTCATATCGAAGAGCAATGAATTAGTTATTGTGGAGATGAAACTCAAAAAACTTGTGATTGCTTCTGTGTATGTACCGCTGTCAATTAAATGATCTATTAAAGCATTACTCAAAATTAAAAATTTAAACGACAGTTATGTGATAATGGAAGATCTGAATGCAGCACATGTACATTTAGGCTGGTCAAAGAAAAATAGAAATCGACATGTTCTGTACAAATGACTACAAGATCATTCAACACAGGCTATCGGACCAAATGAAGCAACATATGTACAAGAAGGGCATGCTGAGAAATTAGACTAAATACTGGCAGCTATTGAAACTTCACTATTATACTCTCATTTTCAAACACATACGCTATTAGGCACAACAGAATCAGGTCATAAGCCAATAATCTACACCATAGATTGTTCTCCTGATAGTCGACCGACAGAATATGCACGACAACAATACATTTTCTCTCAGGCGAACTGGTCTCTGTATCATACTGAATTAAATAAATGCTTGAGTCAACGAGAGCCGAAAGAGGTTAGGGCAACAGAAAATCTAATTGATTACAGTCACTTTATCACAGACTGTATCGCAAAAGCTGATCAATTATCTATACCAGAGGTAAAATCATTCAAACGACTCAGCCAAATAAAATCAAGTAAAGAGACACTCGATCTTATAAAAAAGAAACATCAAATTTACAGACAGTTCCAGAAACATCCGAAAAACGAATTAATTAAAAAAGAGTATTATAAATACCGATTGCTTGTTCAAAATTTAGTTTCAAATGGTAGACGAAATCATTTTGAACAGCTGATGTACACACTATCAATAACCAAAATTAAAGGAGACAAGCTCTGGTCCTTAGTAAAACAGATTTCGTTGAAACTCTTTATGATAAACGACCCAACAATTTGATGTTGTTGAAAGTGCTGTCAGAAATAAAACAAAACGGCTTGCGAGGAAACCTATTCAAGTGATACCTTCCGATTTCGTTCGTTCATACGTCGATCGATAGATGGTATCGAGCTAGTAAAAAGCCTAAAAGGATTTTTCCCCCATGGCTCTTGAAAACCCCGTTGTCTGGAAAACCACTTTTTCAGAAACTCTAAAAAAATAACAAAAACCTTTTCTTAATGATTGTAGCCCGCAAATTTCTGATTAAAATGAGACATCTCCCAGCTCTACACGATCGTTCTTTGCAAAGTTATACAATTTACAAGAAAAGTTCTAAATGTTCATTGTCAGCTCAAAGCTACAGAAATAAAACGAAATTAATTTAGGGCTTTTCTTGTAAATTCTATAATTTTGCAAAGAAAGTTCGTGTAGAGCTGGGAGAGGTCTCATTTTAATATTATAGTAGCGAGTCTTTTTAGATACCTTTTAGTTTAGGTTAACATGAGGTGTCTCGGGATGCCACAAGTCTTTTTGGTGTTTTTTCGTGATATCCTACCTTTGTGTAAAATAAATCTATCTATCTATCAGAAATTTGCGGGCTACAATCATTAAGAAAAGGTTTTTATTATTTTTTAGAGTTTCTGAAAAAGTGCTTTTGCCAGAAAACCGGGTTTTCAGGAGTCATGGGGAAAAATTCTTTTAGGCTTTTTACTAGCTCGATACCCTTCCATCGATCGGAGTATGAACTAACGAAATCGGAAGGTATCACTTGGATAGGTTTCCAGGTTAGCAAAATTGAATCATTTCCACACCCAACGATCACCAATGAAGAATTAAAAACAGCTATATGAAAATTAGGAAACACTGCTGTTGGACTTAATGGGATTCATAGTAAACGCTTGAAAAGTTTACTAAGCTTTTACTACAACATGTTGCAGTGCTCTTTAACAGCAGTTTCAAAGTCGGATATGTCCCGTCTCAATGGAAACTCGGCCATATCATTTTAATACAGAAACCTGGTAAAAATATAAATGATTCCGAATCTTACAGACCTATTAGTCTCCTCAGTTGTCTCGGTAAATTAATGGAACGTATTGTCAAACAAAGATTAAGCGATTTTGCCGAACAACATAAATTGTTACCTGATTACCAATCACGATTTAGGAAAAATAAGTGTGCAACTGATAATCTCCTACAATTGAAACATGATGCTGACATTAGTTCATTAAAAACCAGATAAACTGCTCTTATTGTATTCGACATTAAACAGGCGTTCAATTCCATGTGATTTTCCGGATTATTATTCAAACTAAAACGTATGAAAATTCCTGAGTATCTATAGATGTGGATTTGTCATTTCATCATCAATGGCCAGCAAATAACTCACACAAATAAAGCTAAATACCTAGGGGTTACATTTGATCGATGTCTGAAATTTAATAAACATATACAAGAGATAAAGAAAAAAAAGGACTTAAACAATGTCTAGCAAAGAATGCAGATGAAATTCAGAAAGATCTCTACTACTGGTCTACAAGAGTTTGGTACGCTCACTGTTAACATATGCTGTACCAACCTTCATCAATATAGTCGATGATAAATATTGGAATAAAAGTGTTTGAAAACAAAGGTTTAAGATATGTATTGAAAGTACCCTTCTGCACTTCTCGATCATATGTACGCCAACAGGTCGATCAGGATCTGAAAATTAAAGAATACGGTAAGAAACGAACAACAAATTATCTAAATAAAGCTATTCAACAAGGAAACAAAAGAGTTATGCAAATTTTTGCAGAAACACTTCTCGAAGATCATTATGAACTACCGTTGTCATGTTGTTGTCCATAAAACTGTAAGAAGGAAAAACAAAAAAGGGAAATATAAAACCTAAGTGTAATACGAAATTTATTGTGTAAACTCTCTTTTTTCTGGCAAAAGACCACTTGTCATCTGCCTTTTTCTATATCGTTTATTATTTATAATAAACCTATAACCCCTTTTTACCAAAATTATATTACGGTCCTATATCATACATGTCACGTCTGATCTCGATGGAACTCTGAGAAAATGTTGATTCTGTTAATTAATCGTTATAATAAAATTTTAAAAGATTCCATCTAGCCTCCTTCGGCCGAACAAGGGTAAAAAGAAGCGCTGGTATTTACGGAAATTCACCATAATCTTACATATCAGAAAGCTGACAATCGTTTTAAATTCCCACAAAACGAAATATCCTGAAGAAAAAAAATGCTTTTGAAAAAAACACAAAATACTCTTGTTTCAAAAAATAAATTATTGTTGAATTATTTAAGAGAAAAAATGTTTATTATATATTGTCAGTGGTTTTCAACTATCGAAAATCGAATAGATATGTGTGTACATACGTGTCACATATTCATGCACTTATGCGAACCTTAATTTTGCTAAAGATAACACTTTTGCCTGTTGTTGTCGTGCAAGGCTTCCAAAGTTCTTGATGAAAACCCTCAGATTAGTCATTACAGTCTTGAAATTAAAGAGTATACTTTGTACTATTAGGTCATGTATTTCTCTTCTATATTTTTGACAAAACTCGACATTTCTGACGAGTGAAAAGAAGCGTCAAGCTTCTTATATTGAATATGCACGTGCTGTAAAAGTGACACGATTGTAGTCACGTGACACGTCATAACACCCTTAGATCTTAAGTATCAACAACCTGTCGGTGTTCTCTTTGATACAGCAGATGAAAATGAGACTTTTTTCCCATATAGTTTGTAGTTTTATCCGTAGTGAGTAAACTTCGTCATTTTCTAACAACAGATTTTTAAGCTATTGTTTACTCTATTCAGTTAATACAATGCATTTTCTTGTTTAACATGTTTTAGTTCTAGAGCCCATTCAGTTCAATTTTTTCAATGATTATTTTCATTTCATTTTATTCAGCAGATGGTTGCTACATTGATTTTAGTCTTTCACTCATAACCGTTACCACATGGATTCTATAAGCTTCTTTTCTCTTTCTCTTTCACTCCTTATCCTCTGCTGAACATTTGTAGCTATAATTTACAAGTAAGAAGAAGAGATAAAGAACCGAACGACCCTTGATGTTGAATGCAACAGTTCCTTGTTTGATTTCTTACATATACATCAAGGTCAAAAAATTAGTTTCAAATGATTGACAACAATAACAATTGGCGTTGTTAAATTTTTTCTTAAAAATTCACAGTAAAAATAAAATAAAATAAAAATGAGAACATGATGTGCTAGATAGATACCTTTAATTAAAGTACAGTTTCTTGATATATAAAACAGTAACTAACCATACATCGATATGTTAGCAGTGATACCAATGGCGAGATTAAAATGTTTCTCATAAATTATCTAATTATTGTTATTTTAATAGTTTTAAACGTAATAAAAGGTAAATAAGTCATAAATCTATTAAGTTCTAATTTTTCTGAGTTTTTTAACACTGCAGTAAACTACACATCTAGTTGGTGCGGATCAGATCAACCATATTAATTTAGAAAAAAAGTAGCAATTATCAGATGTAAACTAGTAACTAGTCTCTTTTACACTCTTCTCTCTCTTTCTCACAGCTCCATCTCTGCTTAATATGGACAATTTCAATGATTGATTCAGTGTTCACTTAAAATTGTCCAAATTAGTTAGTTATAATGATGTAGCTATGTTACCTTTTGCTACAAGTTTTAAGTGTGTACGACAGAAAAAATTTCAATGATTTCCATTGTTTCAACTACTTATATTTTTGTTAATGCATTTTTGGACTTTTCGTTGATAACTTAGTTAATCTTTTTAAGCTCAAAATGATGATTATCCGATTGATGAAGAAAAATTTGCTGTACTAACAACGACATCAGATGAAAGTTTAACATCTTTGTCAACTCAACTGAAAGATAATTTTGCTGGTCCGTTAATTTCCGAACGAGAATACTTTGTTGATCAAACAACAAGTACAATAAAAAATTCAACTATATCTTCACTAGATGGTACTATAGATACAATTACCAGCATTAAAGCGGTCGAAGATCATTCATCTGTTTTATTGTATTCGGCCAATACTGTTGATCTATTTGACCATTCGACACCACAGGAACAAGGTAAACAAACACGCAGAGATTTAACTGATGTTTCTGTTACGGATCAGCAAGGCTCAATAAATGTAACGCGTATTGACAATGTTGATTACACTTCTGCGCTGAATGAAGCAACTTTAACAAATGATGAATTAGTAACAGATAATCAAAATTTAACCTCACCATTCAGTTCGTTTTATGACTATAATACGACAGACGTGCAAGAACAATACTCAAATATTTCAGCTACGTTTGATAACATTACTGTGACCAATATTAATGATACATTTCGTACTACCCCTGAGTACACGGAATATAGTGAACACACTAAACTCAATGATCAAGATTTTTCTTCATTTTTCATAACTGATGATGAATCGAGCCCTTCAACTGCTGATGATAAATCACGTTCGATCGTTATATTTAGTGGCAAAGCGGATATTTCTGATTTAACAACATTTACTGATAGCGAATATCGAACAACATTGCCTGATGTTGGTGTTGACGAATTAACAACAAAATTCGAAGAAACATTAATATTGGATGATATTTGTCGTGCAAATCCTGACTCATGTTCATGGGTAAATTCATACGATACGGATGAAACTGATTCACTTTTACCACAAACCAAATGGAAAAAAACAGTCTCATTTTCATCTGCTGCACCAATTAAAAGACCGGCAGGTTGGTAATTTACTTTTGGAAGACTAGATGAATATCTATGATCGTTTTATTTTAAGACTCTGATTCGGTTGTGTATATTGCGGAATATAGACCAGAATGTTTAAATCGTATATGTACAGTGAAATTAAAATATACGAAATCAATTAATATCAAAACAAATGGTTGTTTAAAATTTTCAATATGGACAAAGGGAAATCTTAGAAGTATATACTTGATTTACTTGTACAGGCTAAACTTCTCATTTTTTATTATTACTATATTTATAGACAGTCAATTTTGGATTGAAGAGCTATCGACAAGAAATGGTTATGAAGAAGTTTTAATCAGAAAAATACGCTTTTCACTTATATTTAAAAATGAGACAGACTGGACACACATTCAACATACAATAACAAAAAATATATTCCCACAAAAAACAGTAAGTTACTCATGTGTTTGATGAACAATAGAATTTTACATATTGTATGTTTCATTGTTGTAGCTAATGTTAAAATTCAGAATTAAATTCACAGACCCATTTGTTGATAGTTTAGCGATTTCAAATTTCAAATTAGACTTGACAAAAGAATGTTCAAATGGTAAGTCTGATATATTTGGGTTAGAAGTACGGAGACAATATTTTTAATTGGCAATTATTCTTTTAGAGTCTGGTCTGTTGACTACCCAAAATTATCGACATAATGTAACTACAACAACGAAATCGACTCCTTTTCCTCGTTATGCAACAATTAGTGATGCTAGACGAGGAACAACAACCAAATCGTCTCCTTTACCTCGTTATACAACAACTAATGATTCTAGACGAAGAATAACAACCAAATCGTCTCCTTTTCCTCGTTATACAACAACTAGTGATGCTAGACGAAGAACAACAGTAAATCGTTCAACGATTGTTCAACATCCTTTAACTGTTTCATTGTTCGATGAAACCGAAGGTTCTGTAACAGCTTCATCATTTGATGCAACTGAAGGTTTTGTAACGGTTTCATCATTTGATGAAACTGAAGGTTCTGGTTTAACATCAAATATGTTCCCTACGGAATATGTTAAAATCACTACTAACGATGAAACAAGTGCTGTGATAATGAATAATGATACTATTTATACTACTGATGATTTTTCATCATTCGCAAATACAATAGATGGTAGTAGTTCTGAGATAGACAGTACCGTTAGTTTTTTAACTACATTTGAAACAATTATTGATACATCATCATCAGCATCATCTATACAAGAGGACTCATTTTCCACAGTTTCTTCTGAAATAAAAACAAGTAAACCAGCTATTTCTTCTAATAAATCACATCATCGTTCATCATTATTACTCGTATTTCCACTTGAAATGCGTGTAGGAAATCGTCTTATTATTATTATATCAACATTATGTTTATCACTTATCTGTTGTACAACTTTATTTGCCGTATGCGCTCTACGTCGTCGTCGATCTGGCGTATGGAACGTACGTTTTGATTCACCAATACAATTGATTCGTAAAATATCTTTACATTCATTACCGTTGAAACAAATAAGTCGACAAGCTTCGTCAATTGTACAACAGCCAAAAAGTACAATTTTAACAGCTGTTAGTACAATTTACGGCAAAGATGTATCAGCACGTTACGAAGTGAACAGTACACCATCATTATCAACATCATCATTATTGAGCCAAACGTCAAAACTGTCAGATAGTTCAGCTTCATCTTATTATACTTACTTGTGATGTTATCAGCAAATTTAATGGATTCTTCTGTTTATTGAAACTTCTCTTTTGCATTAAATATATATTTGCTGTTGGAAAATGATAGTAATGAATTTACAGATGAAATAAATTCTCTTTTTAGTGGAAAGTTTTTTTTTCTTAAGGTACGAAACAAAGTAGGATTAATCTATCTACTTAGTTCACATAAACTGATCAATTCGTCATACTAAAAGAATATTCTTCATCTGCATCCGTTATTGATACAAAACAATAACTTCCCTATGTCATTTTTGCTAGAATGAATTTGACGAGCATTTATTTAGCACAAACAATGAGTACGAAGTTAACCAGTAATATGGAATTGTTCTCTATGGATCAATCGTAGTATACTCACAGGAGAAATGGGCTTTATGAGTCAATAGATTCAAACGAGGATGTCTGTGAGACTATAGTCTTTTCGGGACCTCAGCGTATCCTAATAATCTTTAGTTCACGTTGCAAATTTTTCAGTAATTGTAGGTGATGAAATGTTGCACAAAATTATGTGTAAATTTGATGAAATTATCCATTTTGGCTATTTCCACAAAAACTAGAAGCTTAATCATTCACTCAAAATCGATCCAAATTACTTCAGAACATTAGAAACACTCTATCTTATCTACAACATATAGCATCGAACTCAATAAATTGTACTTGTGGTACAATTTTCCTCCTTTACTTGTCCAATAATTTTTTAAAAGGTGTCCTGGACGAGTCTATAAGCTAAACGAAATCGGAAAATTGTTAACAAGTTTTTAATCCAAAATTTGTTGCGGACAAGATTATCGACTGTAAAGAGTATGAATCTTAAATCGGCTTCGATCAAACAAGCATCTAAAGATTCTAGATTAGGTTTATATGGATGATCAAAACTGTTGAAATATGTTTTAGTTATGGAAAAGATATTATAGAAAGCTTTAGAGGATAGAGAGTGTTTGTGTTAACCGTAAGTACAGAATCAAATTGAGCAGATCACGTGTTTAGTCTATCTTAATATTCTACCGTAATTCGCTTGTTAAAAGCTTTTTTTCTTACCGAGTTATGATCAAAAGTAAAAAAATTTGAAGTATACAGAAAATTTTTGCCGCCACTGTTAAGTTAAGTTTATAGCAGAAAAATAAGTAACTTGGAATCCATACTAGACTGGACAAGTAGTAGTAGTTGTATATTCAATTACTCTCATTGTTTTTAAACAGGTCTAGTTTATATTTATCTGTTCGCATCCTATATGCATCCGTTCTGGCTGTGTGTGTTGTCTCCAACATTTGGTTTCTGTATAGTTTCTCTTATAAATTTTTACATAAAGACACCGTGATAACTGTCTATATGTTTAAACAAGTCATGACATACATACATGACATACATCTCATACTCGTACCAAGCTTTTAAAACAAGCACTTTCGCTGTTTTATTAGACTTCGATTGTCTGTTATTAAACAGCTGTGACATCTATGTATCTGAGTCTTTCGTGGTCCAAAATTTCTTGTCGGTCGGCCAACCAGCATACATTCATATAAACAAACAAGACTATTGATAAAGATACGTTTGATTGTTTGCTTTATTATTATTTCCAAATAGTAGCTTCAAGGGGCCAAGATTAATCCAACTTGACGTAGATAGTCTCTCCTTGAAGCTACTATTTGGAAATAATATAAAAGCAAACAATGACAAAAATATCTGCAACATGTAAAACACTTGAGGATAGGAGAAGAAAAGCACCAGATCGACCGAATTGAACATAAAAAATGACACTTTCGATTAATCTAAATTAGTTTTAGGCTATGAATCCTAGTTCACCGCATAAAAGGAAGAGTTGTCAAGCTTCTCAGTACATTTACTGAGAGCTAGAGGTCTGCGGGATCAAACTTTTTTGGTCCCGGTCCCATGAAGAAAATTTTTTAGTTCCAGTCCCGTGGAAAGAACTCATTTTTGGTCCTGGTCCCGTAAATATTTTTTCAAAGTAACAGGTAGTTTGAAAGTCAGCGCGTTGTAATTCGGAGCGTGGACAGCATGTGTGGGTCGTATTAGTTGAGAACTTTTAGAATTTTGTGTGAGCTTTTTCTCGCAGAACTAGTGCCTACATACAAACAAGCACCGAAACTAAGAAATTTTTATACTCTATACAACGCTATTTTCAAAAAAATCTGGCCTCGGTCCGATTAAAAGCCGCGTAGGACCGGGACCGTCCCGCAGATCTCTAGGTCCCGGTCCTGTAAAAAGTCCCGCGGGATCGTGACCGTCCCGCAGACCTCTACTGAGCGCATATTTGAATGGGTACTTAATTTCTGATAGATAACTAATCAATACTATCACTCCACCAGATACACATAAGGTAATTTAACGCAGTGGTTCTAATAAGAATCAGAGTCTGAATGTACTAGTACACTCTGTTTTGGCATCAGCAGTGTACACATACACTCGATTTTTCAAAACAAAGTGTACTAGAATAACTTATTTTGAAACAATATATCCTCCACATAGAACTGATAAAAACGTTCAAAAAAGCAAAATTTAAATTAAAAACTACAAGTGTACACTGTACACTAATGTTTCTCACGCCGTGTAAAACAGCTTATGCATTTCATTTCGTTAGGGTACTACACACTGTGCTTCAACAAGTACACTCTCTTATTAGAAACACTGCTTTAAAATGTCCAATCATTGATAAATTTTGGTGGATACTTTTACGCTAAGTAGGGTATTTTTACTGATGAAGGAACCTATTCAGGTGCCCCAACTGGCTGGAATAAACTTCTTGAGTCAGTTATTTGTTTTTCTTCTTTAACGTCCTACATAAAGGCACTAGTTCAGTGTCTTTTACAATAAAAATGCAGCCATGTTCCTAGTCAAAATAAACCATTTCTTTAACGTTATTTATTTGTGTTTATTTTCATCGTTTCTTTACCTCTGTGTTGCATACTTTAGTTTCTTTTTTTTTCTATCTCATTTTTCTAGTTGGTCGGGGACTTTTTATGACTATCACTTTTCGTGAATAAACTAGTCTTAGCTTTAACTCCGTTTTGAATGATTTATATCTCGATCGATAGAGGATAAACAGCTAGTAAAAACCATTAAAGGGTCCGGACCCATGTCGCTTCTTTCAAAAGTTACGGAGGTTTTTGTCCTTTTTGCTAAGGGAGCACGGAAAAATTTTAAATTTTATAACTCTCGTCAAAACAGCAACGAAGAGCTCAGTTCTCTTTTCATGGCTCTACTAGTTGTCTCTGATATCCACATAAAGTTTCAGCATTC